TTCCCAAATCGCGCAACTTGTGTGACTATGAACATCAACTCTATAGTCTTTATGCTGAAGAGCACTCGGTAAGATTTTTTTAAAGAAGCCATGTGAGGCCATGGCAACTTTAGGATACATTTTTCTTAAACTTACGAAAACTTGACCTCACAGGCCACGCACTGAGACCACAACTCATTGTGAACCAACCTTCAATTATTTGTAGGCAGAGCTGGACAGAATACTTTCAAAAAGTATTTGAATACTAAATAGAAAATACTTTAGACAAATCGAAAGTATTTGAATACTAAATACTTTCACGCCCAGCACAAGCAAATACTAAATACAGATACTTTGAAAAGTATTCAAATACTTGTCACTCAAATACTTTAAAAATTTAAAATAGTTCTAGTTATATAGCAGGTACCAGGCCCTCCGGACCTTTCTTATATCAGTTATATCCTTAAGAACACGTCTACCAGTTTTCAAAGCGATCGTACGTGCACTTGACACGTACACCTTTCTGAAATTAATCCTAGCGATTTTGAAACAGATCCTTTTCTGTCCGTCCGTCTGTTCGTGTACATGGTAACTTCTTAGGAACGTGCGATCGCTTTGAAAATTGGCACACATGGTCTTAAGGATATAAGAAAGGTTCCTATTGTTTTTAAATTACGTAGACTATCGGGTCAAAAAGTTTCACTCCAGGATCGTTCGGTATTCAGTTGTATCGGATTTTTATATTTGATTTTGTGATAATGGAAACTTCCCCTAAACATTTCTAAATAGTTCTCAAATATTTGAATAACTTAAAGGTTCGAAGTATTCGAATACTTCGCAAAAGTATTTCAATACTTGGTGAAGTATTCGAATACTAAATATTTTCGAAAGTATTTGAGTTACATAATAGTATATTGAAAGACAAGTGTTACAATGCGACCTATTGTAATACGACTATCTTGTGGCACGAGTGGCGACGCGAAGCGTAGCCACGAGTGTCCGCAAGATAGGAGTATTACAATAAAGCATTGTAACACGCGTTTTTCATACTATTTTTTCTATTTCGGTGCTTTAATTTAATTAAAAAAATCATTATCAGAAACTATAGGGAACATTAGAACTAACATGTTTTATGTTGGGAACACTTTTTATGCCGTTAAGTTTTAGGTTGGTAGCGTAGTAAGACTGACATTTTGTAGTTCAAACATGGAAGTACCCAACGAAGTACCTACCTGTACTAACTAGTAACTGCCAACTTAAGAGATGAGTTCCCAAAAAAAACGACTATAATCACTGTCTTTGTACAACTGTTTTAGGCCGAAAACAGTTGTACAAAATCATCATTGTGACACCGAAATAGAAAAAAGTATTTAATTACAAAGTATTTGAATACTAAAAAGTATTTACAAAATCGAATAGTGCCCAGCTCTGTTTGTAGGTCATGTGCACCTGGTATTCTACTAATTTGATCTATTCAATACAATACATAAATGAAGAAAATAAGAAAATAAATTCCAAAACAATTACAATAAATGTTCGAAGGGTCCTCCTTGACATTCTAAGCAATAACCTAACCGATTTCGTAATTAAATTGGACGGCGGTATTTTTAAAAATGTGACAGCTGTCAATTGTATCTACTACTCATTTGAACTACTC